GCTCGGGGCGGGGCCAGCGCGGGGGGGGGAGCCAGGGGCGGGGCCAGCGCGGGGGGGGCAGGGGCGGGGCCGGCGCTCACCGGTGGGAGGTGTTGTGCAGCTCGGGCTCCTGCAGCCCCGCCTCTGCGAGCAGCATCTGCAGCAGGTGGGCCCTGCCCGGGTCCCCTGGTGCATCCTCACTGCGCATGTGCAGGCGCGCAGGGTCAGCGCGGTGCCCGCACGCCCCCGGCCCTCCCTGCACCAGGCCCTGGCGCCTGCACCCACCTGAAGAAGGACACCTGGGCCCCGTACATGGCCGGACTGAGCCGCAGGGCCGGGTAGTGCCCGGCGGGAGGCACGATGCGGCTGAACGCCAGCGCCAGGCCCACGAAGAGGGCGGGCAGCACCATCTGGGGGAGCCGCCCGTGAGCTCCGGCCGCCTCCCGCAGGCCGCGCCGCCCCGCGCCCGGGCCGGCTGCTCACCTGCGCGAACAGGCCCCTGCGGCTGCGGCGGGCGAGCAGGAAGCGCTTCAGCAGCAGGGCCCGGAGCTGCTGTCGGGTCAGCGCCCAGCCCCGCACCTGGCCCGCGCCGCCTGGCTCCGCGCCGTGCAGGGCCCGGGTCTCCGGGGCTGCCCCGGCTGCGGGGACCAGAGGCTCAGTGGCGGGGCAGGGGGCACGCGGGGAGGGGCCGCGGGGGGGTGGGGGTTGGGGCTGCGGGCTCCGGGGGCTGGGGGCTATGGGGGCGACAGGGGCTGGGGGCTCGGGGTTCCTGGGGCTATGGGGGTTGGGGCTCCGGGCTATGAGGGCTGGGGGCTCGGGGCTAAGGGGGCGACAGGGGCTGGGGGCTTGGGGCTCCTGGGGCCATGGGGGCTGGGAGCTATGGGGGCGACAGGGGCTCGGGGCTCCTGGGGCCATGGGGGCTATGGGGGTTGGGGCTCCGGGTTCCAGGGGCTGGGGGCTACGGGGGCGGCAGGGGCTGGGGGCTTGGGGCTATGGGGGTTGGGGCTCCGGGCTATGAGGGCTGGGGGCTCGGGGCTAAGGGGGCGACAGGGGCTGGGGGCTTGGGGCTCCTGGGGCCATGGGGGCTGGGAGCTATGGGGGCGACAGGGGCTCGGGGCTCCTGGGGCCATGGGGGCTATGGGGGTTGGGGCTCCGGGTTCCAGGGGCTGGGGGCTACGGGGGCGGCAGGGGCTGGGGGCTTGGGGCTATGGGGGTTGGGGCTCCGGGCTATGAGGGCTGGGGGCTCGGGGCTAAGGGGGCGACAGGGGCTGGGGGCTTGGGGCTATGGGGGCTATGGCGGTTGGGGCTCCGGGGGCCGGGGGCTCCAGCGGCTACAGGGGCTGGGGGCTCGGGGTTCCTGGGGCTATGGGGGCTATGGGGGTTGGGGCTCCGGGCTCCGGGGGCTGGGGGCTCCGGCGGCTACAGGGGCTGGGGGCTCGGGGCTCCTGGGGCTATGGGGGCTATGGGGGTTGGGGCTCCGGGGGCTATAGGGGCTGGGGGCTCATCCAGGACTCTCACCCGGCTCCCCGTTCTCCAGCGCCGGCTCCTCGGGCAGAATCCGGAGCCCCTGGCGGGGTCGGCCGCCTGCAGCAGCATCGGGGGCGGGTCAAAGGCGGGGGGCGTGGCCGGTGGGGGCGGAGCTACGCTTGGGGCTGGGCTTAACCCGGACCAGGAGGTGGCTGAGGTCAGGTGCAATGGCAGAGGCCGGGGCCGGGTCAGGGGTCGGGAAGCTGCCGCCGTACCCTCCGGGTCTGGGTCTGGGTCTGTGTCCGCAGCACACTGCTCCACCACCTTCAGGAAGATCTAGGGAGGCGAGGTGGGGCTCAGGCTGGGAACCCTCCCCTCGCACGTACTGTGGACCCCCGGCCCCCAGGGCCTTCCATCACGGGCTCTGCCTCCACGCCCCAGGGACGCCCCTGCTGTCCACCTCCTCCGGGCAGCCCACCCAGCCCGCACCTCCTCGAGGCTGGTGTCCGAAATCCCGTAGCCAGTGAGATCCAGCTCCCCCAGCTGCCCGTCCAGCTCCTGGAACAGCCGCGCGAAGCTGCCGTCCTGGGCACCCTTGTAGGGCAGCGCCAGCACCAGCTCGTGCGGCAGCTCCTCCACGAGCCGGGCACCGGGCACTGAGCGCCGCACCAGGGCCAGGAGCTGGGCTGCGCCTGCGTGGACGTCACTGCGCGTCAGGGCCCCCAGATCCACTCGGCACCGCCAGCCCTGTCCCCCCACCCTCTGGGGGAGGGAGCTTGGGGAACCCACAGGGAACTGCCCGGGTCAGAGGTCAGGGTTTAGGCCAGGGTAGGGGACAGCCAGGGTCAGCCCTCACCCGCCGTGGCTCCCTGGCCGCCCGGCTCCCGGCTGTGCTGCACATCAGCGCCACCCTGTGGACAGAAGGGTACCAGCTGGCACGGCCACCGGGCTGGACAGCGCCTGGGGGTCGGGGGTCCGGGACCCCGGGGCGGCTCCAGCCCTTACCTTCGCAGAGACGGTCAGGGGCGGCGGCCTCTTGGCCAGCGTCAGGTAGTACCCGGAGCCCAGGTGGCGACGCAGGAACAGTGGGGACCCGCAGCAGCACAGCCGGCCCCCGGCCACCACGGCCACGCGGTCTCCCAGGAGCTCCGCCTCGTCCAGGTGGTGTGTGGACAGGATGAGGGTGCGGCCTGGGCGCGGGGAAGGCCGCCCCGCACGCCGTCAGGCCCCACGCCGCCGGCTCAGACACGCCCCCCCCGCCCCGCACGCCGTCAGGCCCCACGCCGCCGGTTCAGAAGCCCCCCCCCCCAGCCCCGCACGCCGTCAGGCCCCACGCCGCCGGCTCAGACAACCCCCCAGCCCCGCACGCCGTCAGGCCCACGCCGCCGGCTCAGACAACCCCCCAGCCCCGCACGCCGTGAGGCCCCACGCCGCCGGCTCAGACAACCCCCCAGCCCCGCACGCCGTGAGGCCCCACGCCGCCGGCTCAGACACCCCCCCCCGCCCCGCACGCCGTCAGGCCCCACGCCGCCGGTTCAGACACCCCTCCCCGCCCCGCACCCCGTCAGGCCCCACGCCGCCGGTTCAGAAGCCCCCCCCCGCCCCGCACCCCGTCAGGCCCCACGCCGCCGGCTCAGACAACCCCCCCCGTCCCGCACGCCGTGAGGCCCCACGCCGCCGGCTCAGACACCCCACCCCCGCCCCGCACGCCGTCAGGCCCCACGCCGCCGGCTCAGACACCCCCCCCCGCCCCGCACGCCGTGAGGCCTCACGCCGCCGGCTCAGACACCCCCCCCGCCCCGCACGCCGTGAGGCCCCACGCCGCCGGCTCAGACACCCCCCCCCCGCCCCGCACGCCGTCAGGCCCCACGCCGCCGGCTCAGACACCCCCCCGCCCCGCACGCCGTCAGGCCCCACGCCGCCGGCTCAGACACCCCCCCCCCGCCCCGCACGCCGTCAGGCCCCACGCCGCCGGCTCAGACACCCCCCCCCCGCCCCGCACGCCGTCAGGCCCCACGCCGCCGGCTCAGACACCCCCCCCCGCCCCGCACGCCGTCAGGCCCACGCCGCCGGCTCAGACACCCCCCCCCCCGCCCCGCACGCCGTCAGGCCCACGCCGCCGGCTCAGACCCCCCCTCCCCGCCCCGCCCCGCACGCCCTCACCTTCCCGGTACTTGAGCAACAGCTCCCAGATGCCACGGCGGGAAGCGGGGTCCACGCCGGCCGTGGGCTCATCCAGGATGACCACGTGGGGGCCGCCCACGAAGGCGATGGCCACGGACAGCTTCCTCTGCATCCCGCCTTCGTGGTGGTCAGGGAGCTCAGCAGGACGCCCCCTGCCGCTGCCCCCTCCCGGTCCGCCACCTGTGGGCGGGGCTGCCTCTGCCCCTCCCCCACCCAGGGCAGCCCCCCCCATCCCCACCTGTGGGCGGGGCTGGCCCCGTGAGCCACCCACCCGAGAGGTGCCGGGTCTGTGCCCCCCGCTTGGGGACGAGCCCCACGTCCTGCAGCAGCCGGTCCTGCTCGGGGCCCACGGCGGCCGCACTCAGGCCCTTCAGCCGCCCGTAGAACCACACGTGCTCGTCCACCGTCAGCCTGCAGCCACGGGTGACAAGACAAAGCAGCTACCACGGTGGGCAGGCCTAGGGCCGCCCCCTGCCCCCCGCCCGGGGACGCACAGGTCGAAGAGCACGTTGTGCTGGGGGCACACGCCCAGGTGCGGCCGCACGGCTGCCATGTCGAACCGGACGTCGTGGCCCAGGACGAAGGCCGAGCCCCCGCTGGGTGGGAAGAGGCCGCTCAGGATGGACCTGGGGAAGGCACAGAGGAGGCAAACGCACGAGCTGAGCACCTGCTGTATGCACGCCCCCGCAGGCGAAGCCCCCTGCCCTCTGCGTGCCCCGCCCCCACGGGACAGAGGGAGAGCTGGGCCCAGGGGAGGGGTGCAGGGCCCCCGCTCACAGTGTGGTCGTCTTGCCGGCCCCATTGTGGCCCAGGAAGGCGGTGATGTGGCCCTCGTAGAAATCCAGGCTGAGGCCCCGCAAGGCTGGCTGGGGGCTGCCGGGAAAGCGCTTCTCCAGCCCCCGCAGGGAGACCCCGGGGCGCAGGCCGGGCGGTGCCTCCTCCACCAGCACTGCAGGGAGAGGCAGGCTCGGCCCCACCCGGACCCTGACGCTGGCCTTCGGGAGCGGGGCTGGGGGTGATGGGGGCTGGGGGCTTGGGGCTCCGGGGGCTATGGGGGCTTGGGGGTGACAGGGGCTATGGGGGCTGGGGGCTTGGGGCTCCGGGGGCTATGGGGGCTTTGGGGCGACAGGGGTTATGGGGGCTGGGGGCTTGGGGCTATGGGAGCTCAGGGCTCCGGGGGCTGGGGGCTATGGGGGCGACAGGGGCTGAGGGCTGGGGGCTATGGGGGCTGGGGGCTCTGGGGGCTGGGGGCTTGGGGCTATGGGGGCGACAGGGGCTGGGGGCTCGGGGCTCCACGGGCTATGGGGGTTGGGGCTCCGGGCTATGGGGGCGACAGGGGCTGGAGGCTCCATTGGCTATGGGGGCTGGGGGCGCCCTGGAGGCGGCAGCATTGGGCCAGGGGCTGGGGTCTGCATAGCCTGGTTTTCGAGGGAGACTGGGGGTGCAGTGGGAAGTGGCTGCAGCCTCACCTTTCGGGTCCTGCGGGGCAGGGGGTGGGGCAGGACCCTTAGGGGGTCCCGGCCCACACCAGTAGCTCCTCCGGAAGGGGAAGTCCCACGGCTCAGGGATGCCGTACTGGCCTGGGGGAAGAGCAGCCACCTGGGCCTGAGCCATCGGTGTGGGCTCGGCCACACGGCGGGAACCCTCCCCAGCCCTGTCCATCCAATGCGGGAAGTCCCGCCCTCTCCAGGTCGAAGGGGGTCCGGAGGCCCCGCCCCTCCCGGCGTGGCGAGCCGGCCCACCTGGGCACACGGCCTCCAGGTACCAGGTGGCCAGGCCGTAGAGTAGGGCATCCAGCAGCAGCAGGCCCGAGACCTGGGCCAGGCTGAAGACGTCGGCCGCCGGCCCGCTGCCCAGGTTGTGCCACCGGGCGCCCTCGCCCTGCTCCTCCAGCAGCGCCAGGCTCTCGCAGCCGAAGCCGAAGGCCACGGGCGACAGCAGGCTCTAGGGCGCGAGCGTGGGGGTCAGCGGCGGCCCAGGGCCCTGCCGGCCCAGCCCCAGCCCCAGCCCAGCCCCAGGCGCCCGGAGCCCTCACCGCGGCCACACGGGCCCCCGCGGGCAGCTGGTCCCGCCAGGCCACGCACAGCACGTAGGGCAGGTAGAGGGCGAAGTAGGCCAGGCCCCCGCAGGCGGCCGCCAGGTTGGCCCGCGAGAAGAAGGCGCTCAGGAGGAAGCTCTGGGCCACCGTGGCCACGGCGAAGGCCGCCAGGAACAGGAAGAGCACGCCGGGGTGGCTGTAGGGGAGGATGGCCCCCAGCTGCGGGGCGGGGCGCGGCGGTCAGCGCGGGCCGGGGGCCGCGGGCGCGCGCGCGCGCGGGCCGGCCGGGCGCGCACCTTGAGTACCAGCACGAGCAGCGCGGCGCTGAGCAGGAAGGGCCCCAGGCTGCTAAGGAGCCAGGCGAGCCACAGCACTGCGCGCCCCAGCCCCATGGCGCGCATGGTGTCCCGCAGCCGCGTCTCCTTCTCCCGCACCACGGCCTTCACGGTCAGCGCCACCGAGTAGATCCAGGCCAGCGTCAGGAACAGCGGCAAGGAGCGGCTCAGCACGCGCAGGAACCTGGGGCGCAGACGGCGCGCGGGCTGGCTCCCGACCCGGCCTGGGGCGCCCCGACGCCGACCCCTCGCGGCGCCCCGCGCAGAGCCGCGGGGGCGTCCACGGCGCAGGGGACGGCCTCCGCCGCAGGTGGAACCCAGCGCTGGGGGCGGCGCCGCAGAGCACGTGCACGGTCGCGCGCTCCCGTGCCCCGAGACCCTGCCCTCCCTGGGACCCCGACCCCTCGCGGCGAGCCGCGGGGGCGTCCACCGCGCAGGGGTACGGCCTCCGCCGCGGGTGGAACCGGGGCACGGCCGCGCGCTCCCCGTGCCCCGAGACCTGCCCTCCCGAGGACCCCGGAGAGCCGCGGGGGCGCTCCCACGTCGTCCACGTAGCGGAACCCGGGACACGGCCGCGCGCTCCCCGGGCCCCGAGACCCTGCCCTCCCCCCGGGACCCCGGAGAGCCGCGGGGCGCTCACACGTCGTCCACGTAGCAGGGGTACGGCATCTGCTGCAGGTGGAAGCCGGCGCGGGGGTCGGTACCGCTGAGCACGCGCACGGCCGCGCGCTCCAGCAGGTCCTGCAGGTACACGAAGCCGCCCCACACGTAGCGCAGGTCGGTCAGGGGATCTGCCGCCGGGCCGGGGTCCCAAAACCTACGGGAGGGTCCAGCTGGAGACATCGCAGCCCTCGCTGCGGCTCTTTTAAGCACCCGGCCCCGCCCCCACAGCCCTGAACCTGAGCCCACGCCCTTCTCACCCCAGGCCCTGGGCCACGCCCCCACGTACCGAGACCCCGCCCATCACAGACCCAACCTGGTCTAAGGTGCCCTGGGCCCCCCCAGCCTGCCACCATCGCACCGCCCCGTTTCTGGCTGTCCGTGTCCCGCCCACGTCCGCCCGCCCCCACCTGTCCCGGATCTTATTGGTCCTCATGACCTCATCGATGTCCATGCGGATCTTGAGACGCACGTGGCCGGGCCCCAGGTCTGGAGCTGGGAGCTCCGTGGGGTCCAGGGGGTCCTCGGGCCCCAGGAAGACCACGCCCGCCCAGAAGCGGTGCTCGGCCAGCAGCTGCAGCGCCCGGACCTCCAGGGCAGCTTCGGAGGGCAGGGCCTCCAGCTTGTCCAGGGACACGCACTGCGGAGGGGCGTGGGGGCGGGGCGGGAGCCTGAGTCCGCGCTCTGGGGTCTGCCCTCCCCCCCCCCCGTCCTCCCCTGGGCCCGCACCTCCATCACTCGGCCCAGCCCGTCCATCAGGCGATCCAGGTCTGCGTGCGCCGTCCGCCAGCTGTAGCCGCCCAGGCTGGGGTCCAGGAAGGCGCTGAGGGCCTCGGCCTGCTCGGGCCTCCTGCCTTTGTCCCGCATTCGCAGGAGCCTCTGCGGGGCCGCGGGTGAAGGCGGGGGTCTGAGTGGGCCTCTGCCTGCCTGCCGCGGGGCCTGCTGCTACTACCTCCACGGCCGCCCCCTCCCCCACGTGGAGCCCGCCCCCGCCTCACCTGCAGCACGGCCACGTTCGTGCTGTCATTCATGAAAGCGAAGATTTGGGGGCCCAGCGTCCTCCAGGCCTCGGGCAGGTCCCTCAGCATGGCCAGCTCCTGGAAGGTCTGGTTCACCTGCGGAGGGCGGGCGCGGCCCACTCCGGCCGCCGCCGCCCCGCCCAGCCACTCGGAGAGGCGCGGCCCACTCCGGCCCCGCCCCCGGCCCGGCCCAGCCGCTCGGGAGGCGCCGCCCACTCCGGCCACCGCCCCCTCCAGGCCCCGCCCCCGGCCCAGCCCGGCCGCTCAGGAGGCGCCGCTCACTCCGGCCACCGCCCATTCCCGCCCCGCCCCCAGCCCGGCCCAGCCGCTCGGGAGGCACCGCCCACTCCGGCCACCGCCCCCTCCAGGCCCCGCCCCCGGCCCAGCCCGGCCGCTCGGGAGGCGCCGCCCACTCCGGCCACCGCCCCCTCCAGGCCCCGCCCCCGGCCCGGCCCAGCCGCTCGGGAGGCGCCGCCTCCTCCGGCCACCGCCCCCTCCAGGCCCCGCCCCCGGCCCGGCCCAGCCTCTCGGGAGGCGCCGCCCCCTCCCGGCCCGCCCCGCCCCCGGCCTGGCCCAGCCGCTCGGGAGGTGCCGCCTCCTCCGGCCGCCGCCCCCTCCCGGCCCGCCCAGCCGCCCCCTCCCGGCCCGGCCCGGCCCGCTGCTCCGGCGCCCCCTCACCTGCGCCATGAGCTGCCGGGTGAAGTTCGTGTCAGGCGTGAACAGCAGCCTCCCGTGCAGGAGCGGCCTCAGGAACCTCCAGAACAGGCGGGACAGGGGCCGGTCCCCCGGGGCCCCCAGCAGCTCCACGCAGGTGGGGCCTGGGCGCGCGGGGGGGTTGCCATGAGGCCGCACGCGACCCCACCGCCCCACGCCCCCGGTGGAACCCCTGCGGGCCGGGCACTCACTCAGGCTGCCGACAGGCAGGGCTGGCCCCGGCTCCGACCCCACCAACTCCTTCAGGTCCCCGGCTTCGAACCAGTTGAGGGAGAGGCCGGCCGGGCTGCTGGGGCCCCGCGCACTGCACAGGGCTTCCCACACCAGCTCCAGGGGGCTGCCCGCGCCTCGGGGTCTCAGCAGCAGCGCCCGCAGCTCCGCCAGGCTGGACAGCGCCCGCAGCTGGAGGGAGGCCAGCAGAGGGCGCTGCAGTCCCCGCCGCGGGCGCCTCGCTCCCTCCCTGTCCGGCTGTCCTGGAAACCTCCCGGGCGGGGGCCCAGGGCTGCCCCTCGCCTCCTCCCGCGCCCCAGGGGTGGGGGCCTCTCACCTCCTGGGCCAGGTCCTCAGCAGCGTCCACAAAGCTGCCCAGTGTGGACACTAGAGGTGTCTGGGGAGAGAGACGCCGGGGGTGACAGTGACCTTGACTCAGCACTCACTGGGGTCAAGTGCTCTGCCACCTGCCCAGGAGGCCCAAACCATCCGAGCCCCCGTTATACAACCAGAGAAAGGGGGGCTCGGAGACCCCGCAGGGAGTCTTCACCAGGCACCGGCAGGACGAGGGACGTCACAGCAGGGGACAGCCAAGCCTGGAGGCTGGAATCGCCCCAGAGGGTCAGCCCGGCCCCGCCCCACCCGGCTCACCCCGGGCAGCAGCGTCCCCAGCAGCTGAGTGGCCGGTGAAGGTCGCTCCTGGGACAGAAGTCGGGCTGCAGGAGACAACGAACGTGGCGGCATGGGGTTGGAAAAGTCCTGGCCCTAGACCCTCACCCCCACCGGGCCAGCGCCGCACCTGCTGAGGGACCCCGGCCCCCTCACCTTGGCTGCCGGCCGCCCTCAGCACCGGCATCAGCTTCCCCAGGCCGGCCAGCGTCCGGCGGGCACTGGGGCCCCCCAGTACTGTGTGAACGTCAGCCAGCAGCCGAGAGACCCTGGGGACGGAGCGGGCAGGAGGTGGGGGCTCGGGCGGCCGCTGCCGCCCCCACCCCGGGGCGCCTCCCCGCCCGCCGGGGCTCACAGGGAGTCGTTGAAGTTGTCCAGGCGTCCGGGCTGCTCGCCGGGCGTGGGCCGGGGGAAGCAGGTATTGTTCAGCGTGCAGAGCAGGCCCTGCAGCCAGGGCACGGTGCCCGCCGACGGCAGCGGCTTGTTGGCGAAGTGGCCTGCGAGAGAGGCGGCTCTGCGTCCCCGGGCGTGGCTGTGCACGGCGACCCGCTGGCTGCCCGCCCCTGCCCCCACGCCCGCACGCGGGGCCGGGTCCCGGGTCCCGCTCACATTCGTGGCGCTCCAGCGCAGGGTGCGAGCGGCGCACGGCCACCAGGATGAAGAAAATGAAGAGCGGCCACAGCACCTCCACCAGGAGCTGCACCTGGCGGGCGCAGCCGGGTGAGGCCCGAGGCCCGGGGGGCGCGCCTGCCGCCCCGCCCCGCCCCGCCCCGCCCGGGCGTTACCGGCTGTCTCCTGCGGTACAGGAGGTTCTTCCACAGCAGCAGCCGCAGCTGCGTCCGGAAGGCCATGGTGGGCCTGGACGCGGACGGCACGGAGGGTCAGGCCGAGGACGCGCTGTGCGGCTGCGGGCAACACCTCGGAACCTCGGCCCCGCATCGCAGCGCGCCCCGGGTTCCAGCGAGCAGGGCCAACAGTAAGGAGCTCCGCGAAGGCCCGCCCCCGGGGTGGGGCAGACCAATGGGAGCCGCGCCCGGCGCAGCTCTCGCTGCTCATTGGCTGCCAGGGCTGTCGCTCCCCGGCCGAGCCCCTCGCCGGGCCCCGCCCCGAGCCGCACCGCGCTGGACCCCGGTGTCCGCCGTGCGGGGCGCTGCACACGCCCGGACTCCGGAAGTGGAAGCTGATCCCCGGGGACCGCCCGGCTCCGCAGAGCCACGGAGAGGGCAGGCGCCGCCCGCAGGCAACGGAGAGCGGGGCCGCCGGGGGCGACGGGGACCCCGCGCCGGGGCTCCCTCTCACTGGGGCGGGGCGGCGGGCTGAGGGGTCGCAGGTGGCCGCCGGCGCGCATCCCCCGCTGGAGAACTCGGTCCATTTGGCCGCGGCCCAGCGCGCACCGGGGGTAGTCGGGGCTCGCTCCGCACCCGCAGTGCCCGGAGGAGCCTGCCTCCCCCCCCCCCACCGCGCCCCGCACGCTCGTGTCCCGCGCCTTCTCCCCGCTCCAGCGCTCTCACCTTTCCGGCCCGACAGCGCCAGGCAGCGCGGCCCCTTTAAGAGGAGCCCCCCGCGGGCGCCGCGCCCCGGCCGCCCCTAGCAACGCGGCGCGGACGGACGCTCCCGGCCGCGCCCTTGCCCCTGCCCACTATTGGTCGCCCTGACCGCCACTCAAAGGGCGGCCCAATGGGGGCCGCGAGCGCCGAGGGAGAAGGCGGGACCAGAGCGCGGCGCGCCCAGCCAGGTTTTTTAAAGGGCCCGCGCGTCCCGCTGGCCCCACGGACACGCCACCCGGGCTGTCCTACGCCCGCAGCTCCACAGCGCCCCCCGTCGCGGAGGCCCACGTGTCCCCGCGCGCCGCCCCACAGATTCGTCTTCCATCCGCTCACGGACCCCGCGGCTTGGCCCGGTGCCCCAAGCCGGGCCCCTAGAACAGGGTCTCGGGGCTCAATGGTGACCCCGACTTTTGAGAACTGCCTCTGGCTCTGTTTCCCGCTTTGGACCGTGGGACACGCGGGCCTGGCAAGGCCTGGGTGGGGGTGGGGTCTGTGGGGAGGCAGCGGCGGCCCGGGGTGGGGTCTTCAGCGGGCCGGCCCCCACCTCTCCGCCCACACTGACCTCAGCCCTCGCCCCACCCCTCAGGGCGACCCCGCCCCCCACCCCGCTCCCTCCAGCACCAGGCTCTCAACGCCCTCATTAAAAATGCAGATATTTATTGCTTTTGGTCCACAGCGAGCATTTCACATTATCTCCTGGTCCGGGAGCCCCGGGCGGGGGGGCGGGGTCCGGCAGGAGCTGGGGGGCCCTGGGGAAGGTCTGGCCTCGCCTCCAACACTCGCCCCAGTGGGGGTCAGGGCGGCGGGTGTGGGGCCTGGGGAAATCCGGTTGCCCGCCTGGCCCCCTCCCCCCCAGCCCTCCCCAACCTCCGGATGAGAGGAAATTCTTCCGATTCTTTCGTTACAACTGCCAGAAACTTCGTGGGTACAGAAACCACAAGCGGATGGCGGGTGGAGAGAGGACAGCAAAGCGGAACCTTTGGGGAGGGGGCGGCCCCCCTCGGGTCCCGGCCCCGCCCCCTGCCCCCAGCCCAGGGCTCGCACTGGGCACAAAGCACGGGCCAGCTCAGACCCCCGGGCGCGGGCCCTCAGCAGCCCGCCTCCTCCTGGCAGTAGGGGGCGTGCTCGGCCTCCCCGGAGTCCGGGGCAGCCCCCTCGGCCGCTGGGCCTTGCGGGCAGTACTTGGGGTCGTAGATCTGGCGGCCCAGGCCGAAGACCTGGCCGCTCTGGTTGGCGCCCTGCGTGTAGCCCATCTGCAGGGACATGGAGGAGTTGTCGCACTTGTCGGTGCCCAGCTTGGTGTCGTAGATGTGCCGCCGCGTCCCGGGGGCCGTCATGCCCACCTGGGCAGGGAGGCGGGGCGTCAGGCCCCGCCCCGCCCCACCCGTGCGTGCTAAAGGCCTCTGGGGCCTCCCTGCTGGGCTGTGCCGGTGCACCTGCTCCCAGCCCAGCCTGCGTTGTGCGCAGGGATGGCCCAAGTCCGCGAGCCCCCGCCACCCCCCTGGGAGACCCGGATGGAGCTCCTGGCTCCCAGCCCCAGCCTGGCCCAGCCCAGATGGGCGCTGTGTGTGTGCGGGGGGCTGTGTCCCCAGGGGGTGGACCCACCTGGCTGGCACACTTGTTGGTGCCCATCTGCAGGCTGATGGTGGAGTGGTCCATGGGAGGCAGGATGTGGTTCTTGGGGTCATACAGGTGCCTCCGCGTGCCGTAGGCTGTCATGCCCGACTGGCTGGCGCACTTGTTGGTGCCCATCTGCGGGGCGGCGGGCAGGAGCGGTCAGGCTGCCCCTGCTAGGCCCCTCTACCCCGCCTAGAGTCTGACAGGGCCTGGGCTGCGTCCGGAGCGCCCCTCCCCTCCGTAGGCCCCAGTGCAGCACAGCCCAGGGGCCCTGGTGCCCCCCCAGCATGGGCCCCGGGTGCCAGGCCTGTGCGCACCTGCAGCCCGATGACGCACTGGCCGGCCTTCATGGTGGCGTCATCAAAGTTGCGCTCCTGCTTCTCCGAGTACTTGACCCCAATGTCCACGCCGCTGTGCAGACCCTTTGTCTTGGCCTGGGGCAGGGGGGCCGGGAGGACCAAGGAGGGTCAGCCGAGGACCCCCACCCCTTCTCTCCTACCTCCCGTCACCTCCCCCGGCCCACACCCTGTCCTGGCAACCCTGGGCAAGCCGCTGCCATCGGCTCCGGCCTGGACCCCTGTCCCCGGCTCCTGCCTGCCTGGTCTCCCGCCTCCACTGGGGGCCTCTGAGAACATCTGGGCAGGGCCCCCTCCCGCCAGAGCCCCTCCCCACTCCTCCAGGCTCCTCCTGCCGGAGCCCTGCGCCAGCCACGCCCCCAGCCTGGCTTGAGGGCCAAGGCCCCAGAGGTGACCTCCATGCACCCTCACAGGCGGCTGAGACCCCCGCCCCCCACTCATGCTCTGCTCCTGACCCTGGCCCCCTGCTGATGGCCTGGGAGGCGGCAGGGAAAGTGCTTGGGGCCCCGCCGGCCACGGGGGAGCCCCCGGCTGGAGCTCCCAGCTCCCGGCTTTGGCCCGGCCCGCTGTGGGCACCCGGGAGTTAGCCAGCGAGTGGGAGGCCTCTGGGTGTCTCTGCTTCTCTGTCTCCCACCCGGGGGGTGCCCGGGGCCCGCCGCGTGCCCTCGGCAGCACCGCACGTCTGCGCCCGCCTGGCCGCCGCTCTCCCGGCCTCACCTTCCCGGCCAGCGCCAGCAGGGACACCTGCACCTGCGTCAGGTTCCCGCTCTCAAACAGGTCGTTGGCCTCGAACAGGTCCACGGGGTTCATGCCGTAGCTGACCATGGCCTTGATGAAGTTGGAGAGGTTCTCCAGCTGTGGACGCAGGGCAGGGGCGTGGAGGGGCTGTCGGCCCACCGGCCAGACGGGCACCCGGCCCCCGCCGGCCCCCTCGCCAGCACCCACCTGGTGCCAGTTCTGCATGGAGCGGTTGATCTTGGGCACTGAGCCCGGCTGAAGCTTGTTCATCAGTCTGGGGGGGCACGGGGCAGGGGGCGGGACAGGAAGCCCGGTCAGCCAGGACGGGGCTCCGGGGCCAGGCCAGCTTTCCTGGGCACACTCACGGCCCCCCCCGGGCCGCGGCTTCCCCACCCACCCAGGAGACCCGGCTGGAGCCCCCCGCTCCTGGCTTCCGCCTGGCCCAGCCCCGGCTCTCGCAGGCATCCGGGGAGCGAAGCCGCAGCTGGCAGATCTCTGTGTCTCCTGCTTGTCAAAATGTTTAGGGTAAGTTCATTTTGGCGCAGAAAGAAAACCCATCGTGTGAGGGGTCTTTGGAAGTTCGTGGAAATGTGTTTCGTGAGAGAGCTGTGCACGGGCTGCCAAACGGTTTTGTGCCAAAGAAGTGATTTATATTCCTCTACTTGAAAGAGCGAGTGAGGGGGGGTGAGAGCGGGGAGGGGAGAGCGAGCGGGGGGGTGAGAGCGGGGGGGGGAGAGCGAGCGAGCTTCCACCTGTTGGCTCACTCCTCAAATGCCCACCACAGCCAGGGCTGGGACCAGGAGCTCCATCCGGGTCTCCTGTGCGGGTGGCGGGGGCCCAGGCTCTCGGGCCACCCCTGCTGCCCCCGGTGCGCCCGCAGGGCCTGGGTGAGGAGCTGAACCAGTGCTGGGCTAAGGGACGCCCACGCAGCCCCTCCACGGAAACCTCCGTGGTGAGGAGGGGGTGCTGACTGGCAGGGCAGGGGGCGGGCATCAGGAGGGGCTTCCACAGCCAGAGCCCGGACTACGCAAGGAGACAAGGGTGAGAGCCCCCCATCACCCCGCCCCCACCACGTGCTCAGGGAGAGAGAAGCCGGCACAAGGCAGCAGGCGGGCGGGCGCAGGGCAGTGGGCGGGCTCAGGGCAGCGGGCGGGCGCAGGGCAGCGGGCAGGCAGGTGCAGGGCAGCGGGTGGGCGGGCACAGGGCAGCGGGGGCGCAGGGCAGGGGTGGGCGGGCACAGGGCAGTGGGGGGTGGGCGCCCACACTCACGTGCACAGGATGACCCCATCCTTCAGGCCCTTCTGGAAGTCGGGGCCGATGGACAGGCCGGTCAGTCCCTCGATCCAGCTGCGCAGCTCGGCCTCCTTCTGGCCGTCGTACTTGGACAGCAGCTGTGGGGCAGCGCTCGGTGAGGCCGGCCCCCCCTCCCCCCTGCCACGGCGCACGATCCCGGGCCGCGGGACCCCGCCCCTGCTCCCCATCACCCCCTCAACACACACACAGCGGCGCTCGGTGCCCTCGCGACAGCGTGCAACCCATCTAACTCCAGAACACTCTGTCCAGCCGCGCGGCCGCCAGCTCCCTGCTAGGAAAGCAGCGGAGGGGCCCAGGTCCTCGGGCCCCTGGACGAAGCTCCTGGCTCCAGCCTGGCCCGCCCTGGCCATTGTGGCCAGGAAGCAGCAGATGGAAGAACCCCTGTGTGCAGGTCTCGCGGGTGCTGGCCCCGGCGTGCAGCGCCCACTCCCTGCGGAGGAGCCGGCCGGGCGGTGCACACGCGTCCCCGCCCACTCGGATGTGGGTGTGGCTTCCCCCGCCTGGAGAGGACCCCCATCTCCCCGAACTCCCACCTCCCAACCCTGCCTGCAGGAGCTGTCATGCCCAGCAGGGGGCGTGTGGGGTCCCACAGGATCACCCCGGCCCCGCCCACCCCCACGGCATCATCTCGGCACTGAGGGACGGGAGGCGGCAGAGCGGGATTTAGGGAGCTCTCCTGCAGCTTGGGGCGGGTGGGGGGAGAAGCCGGCTGCCCTGGGGGCTTCTGCTGCGGATCCCTGCCCCCCCCCCCCCCCGCCTAGCGCTCTGTCTCTCTCTAAGATTTATTTATTCAATAAGACAGAGAGGCCAAGGGAGAAAGAGAGATGAAGAGTTCATCCACTGGTTCCCTCCCCAGATGGCCACAACGGCCGAAGCTG